CAATTTGGATAATATACAACAGTGTTTACCCAAATGTGTTGCTCCTCTGCCATTTCATGTCACCCATCTAGCAAACATCACCTTAGGTAAAGTTACCAGCTGAGTCCTACTGGAGATAACCTTTCCTTAGTTCTGCAAACCTCTGCTACATCTAATTTAAATCACCATGAGAACCTTCACCTTCCACCTCCACCTCACTCTCGGCTCATCGATAAGCTACTTATATAGAGAGAAAAATAGAAGCCTTTAGTCAGAAACACTCAGCGTCTCCCTGTCACCCATTCACCCACCAACATTTGCGCCTGTCCTCTCCCGTGGCATGCACCCACCTGGTAGAACGGAGGAGCGCCTGCTCCCCTGGATGGGTCCAACCTCTCCCACTTGGACTCCTGTCCTCCTTTCCCTGCCTTCTCAGGAAACATACACTATTGCTGTAATCTCAGCTGGATTCTTTCACGTCTTCACTTAAAAATACTTAGTTCTCCTTCAATAGTTTAAAACATAAGTATCCCATGTAGGTCCACATATTCCCTGTCCGGTTCCTCTTTGTAGCTTTCCTGTTCACAAACTTCTAACAGGGTTGTTTGGACATTATATTACTTTGCACTTACTTCTTAACGCTCTCAATATGCCTTCCACTCCCATCCTCCACCAGTGCCCAACGACCTTCACATCACAACATTCAACAGGGAAATCTAAGTTCCCACCGTATTTCAACTCTCACTATTGGACACAGACTATCTTTCTGATTCTTGAAACTCCCTTCTTTGACTTCCATAGCATCATGCTCTGCTGGTTTCCCTCCTGCTTCTCTGGCCATCCCGTAGCCTCCTTTGCCAGATCATCATTGTGTTCCTGGCTCTCAGATGCTTCGTTTCTTTAAAGCTCAGTCTCAGGCAGCCACGTCTTCTTATTCTATGCTGTTTTCTTGAGACTATCATTCTTAGTTTAACTAAGCATGCATTTGTCAATGATTCCAAAACGTGTATTACCACCCCGGAACTCATAGCATATCTCAAATTTAATATGTTCAAAGTCATTTTGTGATCTCTTCTCATAAAGCCATTCGTTTTTCAGTATCCACCATCATCTCCATTTCAGCTACCATGTTTTTTACTTTCTAAATATCTCTCAAATTATTCACCTTATTCACTGTTACTGCCGTACTACCCACTCCCAGCTACCATTGTCTCTAACATGAGCTGTACAAGGGTCTCCAAACCGTTTTTTTATATACACTCATGTCGCCAAACCTCAAGGTCCCGACCTCACCCTAAGGTCTTTTCTTTTCAAAAAACCATAATATTGCTTTTAAAATGTGATTTAGATCATGCAGATTCTAGTCTGTTCTTCATTAGCTGTCAGTTTTATTATGATAAAGATCAATAATCTTAACATGACCTAGAAGATTTTATTTTTTATATATATTTTATTGATTTTTTACAGAGAGGAAGGGAGAGGGACAGAGAGTTAGAAACATCAATGAAAGAGAAACATCGATCAGCTGCCTCCTGCACACTCCCTACTGGAGATGTGCCCACAACCCAGGTACATGCCCTTGACCGGAATCGAACCTGGGACCTTTCAGTTCGCAGGCCGAGGCTCTATCCACCGAGCCAAACCAGTTATGGCAACCTAGGAGATTGGTGTATGGTCATTCTCCTACCTACTTCTCCAGGTTTTCTCAAACTATCCTTTAATCCTCACATCCTTTCCTCTAGCTAAATATAGCTTCTGCCAGGTCTTCCAAACTGTCATTCCTCCTACTGTCTCATAGCCTTTACTAGAATATCTGCTATTTCCTCTACTTAGAATGCTCTTTCTTCCATAACCCCCCATCTTCTTCTTGATATTCCTCTCATCTTTGCAAAATCAGCTCAAAATTACTTAGAATTTTTTCC